TGTACACATTCTCGAGGACAGATACAAGAATCATTACAAAGTTTCGCCTTACAATTGGCAAAATTTTAAAATATTTTTCAAACATACACAACACAAAGCAATTTTCAAAAAGTGAGCTAGCGATTAAGAGCCCGTAGATAACTACAGATGAAAAGGGTGCTAACACCTTCCCTTTTCATAACCTACCCCCAAACTCAAAATCAAAAAAAAGTCTTTCACGTTCTTTTCACCCTTTCCTTATTAGATAAAAGAAAAGTCGACGGCGACTCTTGCTATTTGCAACATTTATGATAAAATGCAAAACCAAGTAGTTCTCCCACCATATTACAGTATGCCTTGAGAATAATGCACTCTTATGTGTGTGGTCCATTTCCAGTAGCATCGATTGAAGGGAATAAATACTTTGTGTCATTTGTTAATGAGTTCCCCAAAATGACATGGGTATCTCTCATAAAGTTCAAACACAAGGTGTTTGTTGAATTTAAGAAGTTCAGACTGAAGGTTGAGAATCAGAATGGCTAGAATCTGAAGATTCTTAGAACCAATGGTGGTGGTGAGTATAACTCCACAGAGTTCAGAAGGTTCTGTGAGGAGAATGAAATTGAGCATGGGGTTATTTCTCCCTATACTCCTCAACACAATGGTCTTGCTGAAAGAAGAAATCGTACTTTGCTTGATATAGTGAGAAGTATGCTGAAAGATAAGAAGCTTCCTCATACTTTGTGGGGAGAAGCTGTTGCCACAACATGTTATATGCTCAAAATATGTCCAACAAAGAAGCTGAAGGAAATAATTCCTATTCAGAAGTAGACTGGAGAAAAGAAAAGTCTTAGTCGTCTGAAGGTGTTTGGTTCTGTGTGTTATAAACATATCCCAGAAGCCAGAAGGCAAAAGTTGGATGATAGAAGTAAAGTAATGTTACTGGTGGGATACCATAGTACAGGTTTGTACAAACTTTATTGTCCAAAAACTAACAGAGTTGAGTTCAGCAGAGACGTCATTGTAAAAGAATTAGAAGTCTAGAATTGGGGAAAATATCGTTCTGACTCTAATGAGAGAACTCTTGAAGAAAAGTAAGAAACACATATTTCTGAAGCTGGTAAAGGTTTTGACTCTGAAGACGAGTCCGATGGTGACTTTCACTCTGAAGTAGATTAAGAAGGTGAAGATGATTCTGACTCTGACTCCGATGGTGATTCAAACTCTGGGAATTTTCTAGACTATGAACACAATCACGATTCTGTAGAAAGTTAAATTTTTAAAGCAAGAGCTTCTGAAGGGGAAATTTCTGGTGTTCGAGGTTCAGAAGTTCAAGTTTAAAGGCAATAAAGAGTCAGAAGCATCCCAAGAAGATTTGTAGAGTTTGACATGCTGCAAGATACTGAAGTAGACTCTGAAGGAGAAGTTATTCAGTGTGCAATGTTAGTAGACTCTGAACCCGTGAGCATAAAAGAGGCTCTTAAGCAGCAAGTCTAGTTGCATGCCATGAAAGAAGAACTTGATGCTATAGAGAAAAACAAGACTTGGAAGCTGACAGAACTTCTAAAAGGGAAGAAAGCCATTAACTTATGATGGTTTTTCAAGCAGAAGCTAAAGCCAGATGGATCAATTGGCAAACACAAAGAAAAATTAGTAGCAAGAGGTTTTCTACAGAAGCCTGGGCTAGATTACTCTGAAATGTTCGCACTTGTAGCGAGACATGAAACATCCAGACTAGTGATTGTAATAGCTGCTAACATGAATTGCCCTCTGATGCATTTAGATGTAAAATCTGCATTTCTGAATGGTCCATTACAAGAGGTATATGTGTCATAACCTCCCGGATTTAAGAAAAAGAATCAAGAAGGGATGATGTTCAGATTACACAAAGCCTTGTATGGATTGAAGCCAACACCTAGAGCCTGGAATTTGAAGATTGATTCATTTTCAAAGAACAAGGGTTTCAGAAGTGTGAGATAGAGTATGGTGTTTATGTTCAACACACTTCAGAAAGCAATATGATTCTGGTATGTTTGTATGTTGATGACATATTGCTAACAGGAAGTTCTGAACAAACGATAGCTAAGTTTAAGAAGGTTCTGATGAATGAGTTTGAGATGACAGATCTTGGAAAAATGAATTACTTTCTAGGGATGAAGTTTTTGTACTTCGAGAAAGGAATCATTTTGCATCATATGAAGTATGAACTTGAGCTTCTGAAGAGATTTAAGCTGGATAATTGCAAAACTGCAATCACACCTGCTGATACGAATCAAAAGTTGGACTCTGATTCTTATGGAGAGGATGTGGATGCTACAACCTTCAAATAATTGGTTAGTTCTTTGAGGTATTTGTGTAATACCAGACCTGATATTTGCTATGCAGTTGAAATAATTAGCAGATTTATGAGTAAACCAAAGTGGTCTCATTACCAAGCTGCTGTCAGAATTCTGAGGTATGTGAAAGAAACTCTGAAGTATGGAGTGTTATTTCCTTTTGGAAGAAATATCGAATAAGAACTTTTGAGTTATTTAGACTCTGATTGGCATGGAGACAAAGTTGACAGAAGAAGTACCTCTGGGTACTTATTCAAATTTATGGGAGGTCCTATTATTTGGTGTTTCAAGAAGTAACTTGTTGTTGCGCTGTCAACCTGTGAAGCTGAATATATTACAGGCGCTCTGACTGCATGCCAAGCTGTGTGGATTCTGAACTTGCTGTAGGATCTGAAGACCGAGGTAAACAAGCCTCTGAAGTTGATGATTGATAATAAGTCTGCAATCAATCTTGCCAAGAACCCAATGCTGCATGAGAAAAGCAATCATATTGAGACCAAGTATCACCTTCTGAGGAATCATGTTCAAAGTGGAATATTAGAAGTTATGCACTGTAGCACCCAGAAGCAGCTGACAAACGTTCTAACAAAGGCTATCAAGGCTGATCAATTTCTTCGTTCGAGGGATGAAATTGTTGTTGTCAGTTTTGTGTAAATATAAATTAAGGGATGATGTTGGAAATAATTTATATTTTAGGAATGTCTTGTTGATTAAATCTGTTAGAGAGTATTTTAGTATTTTATTATACCCTAATATTGTGTATAAATAACCTAGTAGTAGGTAGGTCAATATATTCAGTACTCCTTATTTTGTGGCCGTTATTTAATATTCCTTTTGTCTTTTATCTCTCCTTTATGCACCAACAAATCATAGTTCCTTTTTAACCAATAGATGCAAACTGAATTGCATCATGTGGAAAAGTGAAGCAAAAATAAAATAAGTATTAACCAAGTTAGAGTAAATATATTTGAGTTAGAATCAAAAGTATAATTTGGTTGTAAAAGTAAATTTTGGATACAAAATATTCCCAAATTGATGAAGTGGCAAACAAAAACAAAAAGGTAAAAATGTGTTTTTCAAAATATCTAATTTTCTTATATTATAGATATTTTACTGTTATTCTTATTGATAATGAGTGAAATATAATATAGATATAACTATTTGTGTATTACTCTTAAAAATATACTTAGTATACTCCAAGTTCTTTATTTTTTGATGGCAAAAAAGGATATAAAAGTAAGACTCATAAGTTAGGTGAATGTTCTTAAAATAGTTTGATTTAGAGAACAAGGTTGAAGAAGCTTTCAACGAACGAGTAATTATTGATTGTGATTGCAATGCAACAAAATATTATTACATTATCTAAGTATGCTGATCTGGTTAACTATTTAGCAATTAAAATAATTCTACTTAATGTGGATTATCAACAAAAAAAATGAACTTATAATAAAAACTATTTATTAGAATTAACAATACTTATAATAAAAACTTATTAGAATGAACAATACTAATAATGAAAACTTCTAGATCAAATACTTAAGGAGATGTTTTTTCTTTTTGATTATATTTAGGGTGTATTTGGTAGAGTATAAATAAAAAAAAGAGAAATAAGTGAGAGAGAAGTAGAAGATAGATTGATAACTTCTCTTATTTGAGAAGAAGAGAAATAGGAAAAAGAGATTAAAAAATGGTGGATTCTACAACTTTTGTATTTCTCTTTAATTATGAAGGCAAAGTGAGAAAAAACAGATTAATAGATGGAAATGACTATTTTGTCCAATAAATTATAAATATATATGTTTTTTTAAAGTGTTATTTATCATAAATGTATTATTGTACTTTTAAAACTATGCAACATTTCTCTCTTTCTTTTAAATCAAACAAAATTTCAAATCTTCTTTATTTCTCATCTTTTTCTCTCTTCTTACCCTCTCTTATCTATTTATCTCTTCACAACTTCTCTTCTAAACCATTTAAACACATCTTTAAAATTTTTTTGGAGATGAGTAAATTCAAAAGTATTGTCATCGATCACATGAAAATCATTTAATAAAAAAAAGATTAGTTTGTATACTACTTAAAATGTTTTTATTTAAAGTCATAAACTCATAATATTTCCAAACCATTTAAACACATCTTTAAAAAGATTTTAGAGATAAGTAAATTCAAAAGTATTATCATCGATCACATGAAAATCATTTGATAAAAAAAGATTAGTTTATATACTGCTTAAAATGTTTTTATTTAAAGTCATAAACTCATAATATTTCAGATTTCTTTTCTTTTACTCAATATTTCAGATTTCTTTTTTTACTCAATATTTGAGATATCATAGAAAAAAGATTTCAAATAAATTCTAATTATTATCTAACAAATAATTTGGTTAAAAGTTAAAACCATTAGGTTGTTTGATAGTTGCTCTATCTAATAGAAAAATAAATAAATAAATAGATAATAATAATAACTCCATAATAGCAACAATCTTTCTCTACATTCTCTCTCTTCAAATTCTCTTCTCCTCTCGCTCACTCCCTCTTCCTCAATCGCGATCCATTTCTGCAAAATCACCCCCTAATTATCAATTTCACGCTATTCCGTTCACAAATTCTATACCTAACCTTCGATCCGCATACCCAATCTTCAGAAATTCCAAACCCTAGTTCGTTTTCTTCCTTTCCCCCTTTTTTATTGCACAAACCCTCGATAATCGTTGTCCCTTAGTTTTTCCTCGGAGCATAATTTCATGGGTACTCCACAATTTTTTTGAATTGAATCTCTATCTCCCGTGAATCCGTGTTCTGAATTTTGCTCAAGGGGTGATGATTTGTATATACCAATCTTTACGTTTCTTTCGGGAATTTCATTGAAGGAGAGACTAGTTTTTCCAACTTTTTTCTGGGGTGATATTGCTCGATTTTCGCAAAAGAGGAAGCTTGAGAGGGTTTTGGATGACGGGTCTCGTTGATTGAGCTGGGTCAGTGAGTGGGATTGTTTGTAGGTTTTGGGTTTTTTTTTGATAGATTTGAAGATTTTCTAAGGTTTTTTAGAAATAAATGATGAAAAAGCAGGGATTGTTGGTCTTATAGTTGAACTAGAACAATAATACTGATATTTTGGTTTTTTTTTATCTGTGTGCTGTACTGTATCTGGTGTTGGAGCAGAAATATTTGGTCAAATATAGTTTTCTAGAAGAGTGTTGAACATATGTTATGAGTTCTATGATTGATGAGGGCTAGTGCTTTTTGTGGGTTGTTGTAAAACTCTGCATTGTTCATCGGTTGAAAATATTTGACATTGGTTATCCACTTTGTTAGCATAAGTGTTGCGTGGAGGGAACAAAATGAGCTTAGAAAACGAAGATCAGAACTTGTTGGATCAGGCAACTGATAATGGATTGCAAAAGTAACCTTCTATATTCTATGATTAGCTGATTGTTTATAATATTTTTTATGATGTTTATTATTTAAAATGTGATGGATGTTATAATACCTATTTGTTGGGGGTTGATCAGGAAGTTGAAAATTTCATACACAAGAGAGTTTTTGTTATCTGTTAGTGGATTGGATGTATGCAAAGAGTTTCCAAGTGGGTTTGATCAATCACTTTTAAGGTATATATTAAGCTATATTTATATTGCCGGAGTGCTAACATTTTCCTTTTTACCATCTTATATATATATTTAAGCTCTATCTCTTATGTGTCTTGCCTTGCTTTTCTGCATGGAAAACAGGGAATTTGAAGACGCTTCACTGGATCGACATAGAAGTACTGGTGCTCTACCCACACATAGTTTCAGACGCAATGAGTACAGTTCATCACCTCCAACCAGAGGGGATACAAATAACTTTTCGCGGGGAACTCATGGAAAATGGGATTCTCGCTCTTCTGGACGTTCAGATAGAGACAGTGATTCTCAATCAGAATGGGATTCAGGTTTTTACACTTGATCTACAAAAATACTTAATTTCTTTTTAGTTTTTAAAATACAAGAATTCTAAATGCCTCTACAAGTGACAAACATTTGGATAAATATGGAATTATTCTGTGCCTGCCATTTTTATGGATTTTGGGGTAGAAGTTTTATATGTAAATCGAGTTTTATGTTGCTATTTCATTGTCAATGTCAATTTACAGATTCTGGAAAACGTATTGGCAATCAGTCTCGGAGATCTTTGCAAGGTCCTGAGCACGATGGACTTCTAGGTAGTGGCTCTTTTCCAAGACCTGCTGGGTATGCACCTGGGTTGTCTGCTCCTAAGTTTCGAGCTAATGACAATTACCAGCCAAATCGGTCTAATGAGCCCTATCACCCTCCTCGTCCTTATAAGGTTATCTCACTTATCTGTAGTTACATATTTCTCAGACAGATGTATATTAGCCAAAGTTTAGTATTGATTACTTCCAAAAATTCTCAAATCTCAATCATGTATGTTTTTTATTTGACGTGTTGAAGCCACGGACAGTGTTGAGATATTAAGCAATTTATTAACTCTGAGTCTAATAATTTGTTTATTTTGATACTTGCTAGGCACCTCACTCTCGTAGAGAAACTAACGACTCTTTCAATGATGAAACTTTTGGCTCTTTGGAGTGTACAAGTGAGGACAGGGCAGAGGAGGAAAAAAAGAGAAGAGGTACATGTTATTTTCTTGAAGATATTGTCTAATTGTTTGAATGATGTCTAATACTCTTTTGAAATATATAGAAAATGCACAGATACAACTTAGGGGGGTTCTTCCCATTTATGGACGAGATTTTCTCTCGTTTCTTAAGTTGTACATTGATGCGTCCGCAAGTGCACGAAAATATCGAAGTAATATAAAAGATTGTCGAACCCACAAAGACCAATGTCAACCTACTGTAATCTATTGTCGCTTTGTAAAGCTAAGGCTAATGAAATAATTGATTTAGGGGAAACTAAGAACTAAAACTGAAACAAAATAAAGATTAAGATAAATATAAGAAAAGAGAGACCGGAATATGTATTCCGCGTATCTCAGAGACTCTGTAACTCGTTCGCTTATAATAATGTTAAAAACATATTTAGTAGAAAATATTAGCTTAAAGACTAAATCTCACACTCTCGTGGTTTTGAATAAAGTCATGTTCCTTGACCATGGGATTTTGCTCTCACTCGTCCATTCTAATCGAGGAACGCGTTTTAAAAACTGAACAAGTTCTAATCGACACCTAAAGCGCTCTTGCCCTCTTTAGGAATCGATGCCCCGTTCTTACTATCCGGCTCGATGGTGTGGTAGTTCTCCGAAGTGAGAAACTATCATTTTTACAAAGTGATTTTTGCCTAAATCTATGAACAGAGTTCCGTGCACAAAGTTGGATGCCCAAACAATGAATGCTAGGTCCTTTATATAGTGAGAAATGCTGGAAGTTATCATGTGAGAGGTAGTAGAGATAATGGAGATCATGGTCGGAGAAGTTGAGAAAATCATGGAGTGAGTGGGTGAGATGGTGAGCGTGGAGAAGGCTGCAAGAAAATAAATACGTGGCTGCAAAATGAGCTGTGGCGAGGGCCACAATATGTGTGGTGAGGGCCACATGTGTGAAGAGTGTGGCAAGGGCCACAAGTCCAAAATGCATTTTTTCTGTTCTTTTTGCTTATTTCTTTCATTCTTCTTAGTATCTTGGTCATTTCTCTGTCTTTTCCACATGGAAGCCTCGTGTTAGAAAGTACCTGAAATGAAATAGAAATACCGGCATAACAAGATAAAAATGAATGAAAACGAAACTAAAATACATGCGAGTCAAGTCGAATATACGATATAATTTTGCGTTATCATACATGCTCTATTTTAAGAAGGCTAATTATGTCAAAATGCATGTTGTACTGCACAGTACATTGTTTTCTGCAGGACACAGCACATAAAACCTGTTAGAAAACACCACAAAGTTTGATGGGGCCTGAGACAATGTTGCTGTAGCCCTATTTAGGGTGATTACATTACCCACTAACACCCCCCTTCAAATTGATTAGCTTTACCGCACATATATTTTCCTATGAGAAACTGATGACCGGCAAGGTCGAGAGGCATGTACTTGTTTTAGAAATTGACTAATTGAAGGGTTGATGTATGGAAAAGAGATAACATGAATGGTAAAAGCATCGTGAGTAGAATGGTGACTCACTGCACACCTCAATATTTTTTGGTGTCCTCATGAAAATTTGGATCAATAGGGTATGAGCCTTACTATTATCTGAATTGGGAGGTGTCGGATTGAGTAAGTTAACCCAAGCATAGCTAATAAGCTGCAGAGTTAACTAATGCTCCCAACAAATAGTAGACATAGCACAATACTTAGAGTTGTAAGTTTGACAATGATTGAGTAAGTCTATATTGTAATGGTTATTTTCTCAGACATGTCTCTCGGCCTCGTCAGTCCCCCAGTTTCTCATAGGCAAGTTCGTGGATGATTGAGCAAGTCTATATCATAGTGGTTTGTTGTTTTTCTAAATAAAAGACCCAAAATGCATTAGCTGAGTGATTAAGCTCTGTAGTGCATAGAATAGCCTAACAGCTGAAATATTAATCTCTATAGTGCACAGAATATCCTAACGTGCAAAGGAAGCGAATGGTGTTGCATTCAGTTTTTATTCCACAGTTCCCATCTCAAACCAGAAAACATGAAACATCATTGTAAGTTTGCAGTGAACCCAACAGGACAATGAGGTGAATGAATCCAACTCTGATGATCTGAAACCTAGCTCTACTGAACTGAATCCAACTGCAATAGGGGAACACAACCCACCCTTCTTACATTCTAGGAATATGAAACCCTGTGTAAGTTTGCGATGAACCCAACAGGACAATGAGGTTAAAGAATCCAACTCTGCTGAGCTGAATGAAACCTAGCTCTACCGAACTGAATCCAACTGCAATGAGGGGAACACAATCCACCCTTCTTACATTCTAGTAATATCAAAACCCTGTTGTCATTTTATCCATTTGGAAATTGTTATTCTTTTTAAGGGTGTGCTTAGTTGTGAACCAACTAATGATTTAGGAACATGTCCATCAATTCTGAATAAACTGGCTTGGGTGGGCCAGATCATAATGAGTCGAGTCTACAGGAATTTTAAATAATAGCTGAATGCTCAGTGCAAAAATCATCAAACAAAACTAGTAATTGTGAATTGAGAAATTACCCTGGCTGTTTTCCAGGAGGTAATCTGAACCTGTTTGTGCGACAGAAAAGCCACTGATATGATCCCACTAAAATAAACACTGAAATTTTCTGGTGCCATGAGTCTTGCATCATAATTATTAACTTCACAGACACAATTTAGACTATTTTTCATTTAAAGACGACATCTGCTGTAATTCCCAAGGTGACACACTCTACTTTGGGAAGGCCGATCTGAAAATCGAAATAGAAAGTCCATTGGCTGGCATACACTAAGTGAACACCTTGTCTGCCGCTGTTCACAAGATAAAATCCATTAGAATTTTAAAAGATGCCACAAGGTTTTAAAGGGCTGGGCTGTTTTGCAGTTGCCAGGCTTGCCTCATGTCCCACCAGCAAGATATTGTGGTACTTGGGAGACTGTATTTGTTTTCATTATTTATTTATTACCTTAATGTTCTGTTGAACTTTGTAATTTTGGCCATTTGTAAAATCATATATGATAAATTTAAATTCAATGAATGACAACTTTCTTGCCAGCCTCTTTCGAATTGATGAGAAAAGAGCAAACTGAAAAGCTTAAGATGAACCCAGACAAGAATAAAGTGGATTTTGACCTTTCTTCACTTATCGACGATAATTCAAAGAGGCCAGTTGCTGGAAGCAATGAGTCAATGGAGCCTCCTCTGACTTTAGCAGCTTTAAGCAATGATGAGAAATCTTCTTCCCATTCACATGCTTCAGCAAGACCACTTGTACCCCCTGGTTTTGCAAACACAATGTTGGAAAGGAATATGGGTACCAAAATATCCCCCAACACTCATGTAGCAGAGGTAATTAGTTGACACGTTTTATCTACCTTGTCTGTGGCCTGTTGACACTTTTTATCTACCTTGTCTGTGGCCTGCGAGTGCTGTCATTTTTAGAATGTTAAGCTCAAAGATCAATTTCCTGAAGTGTTCAATTTGGCATACAATTTGGTATTCATTTTTTAAGTTGTAAATGTTGATATTGTCTTTTATAAATGTTATGTATTTGAATAGAGATTTTTTTGATGTTATTGTTCAGAGTTATAGTGTGGAATGTTGGTGTTTTGTGTTGGAGAACCGAGTCCTTTGCATGTCACGTTTTTGGGATGGCAATCATGAATGAAATTTTGTAGTTCAGTTCACAATGAATTCTCTCGGAGCATGAAAAATTTGAAATTTCTAAAGCCTTTGTTATTCCAAAGTGTGTTCATAGAATAATATTTTCGGTGTTTGAAGAGAAATCTTAATCGTGCAAAGTTCAATAGTTTGAAAGCAAAGGGTAGCTTGATTCAACATACTAGTTTTCTCTTCTGAGAATTTGACGTCAACAATTAAATTATAGTCTCACAGAACAGCTTGTTTTGACTGTGATGTTATGCTTCAAATGCTGGGGTTATTGTCTAATATCTAAGAAAGTTATAAAGGAATTTAGGATTTTATATTGCAACATCCATATAAGAATTAAATGGTCATAGAGATGGTTTATAGTCGTGAACTGTAACTTGACATATTGTTATTATCAATAATGCAAGGGAGGAAACAATTAGATTGTGATATAGATATAGTATTTGATACTACTCTCTGTTAAAATGTTTAGCATTTAAGAATCAAGATCCTGTATCAAATCTCTGACATTTAAATTTTGTATGGTAAAAGTTTTCTATTAAGAGTCTTAATCTTGAACTGGATTATGATTGGGTCTTTATTTTACTTATTGGATGCCAAATCAGCATGGAAGATATTATAGGATATTGGTGCATTATTTCTTGCTTTCATGCTGCTTTTCCCCATATATATATATATATATATATATATATATATATATATATATATATATATATATATATATATATAGACTGGGAGCCTAGGCATTGAGAACTAAGTTTAAAATTATATGAAAAACAATGGATTTTTAGTAACTTTCCCTATGTGCAACTATTCACAGCTCTTTTATGCATGTTTGACGTCTCTTGTTTTTATGCAGGTTGGGAAACCTGAGCCTGGAGATACCCGAGGTAGCCATGTATTCAGTATAAATCCTGAAAATAAAGAAGGAAACTTATCAACCATGCAAGTGGATAACAATCAACAGAATCTTCAAAGGGCAGATATAAATGTTTCAATCAACAATGAGAAAGAAAATACTTTTAATTTGTCAACTTCTGTGGATATCCCCAACGTTAAGATTGGAATTAATGATCAACTAAGAAAGAGATCTGCTCTTTCAGAAGCCTTGGAAGCATCAGATGACAATACATTTATTCCACTTAAGGCTGAAGTGAAAGGAAAGGAGGCCATAGGAGCAGCTTTCAATCCTGAGAGTTCCGAGTCTATCCTATACAAGCTTTTCGGTAATGCTTCAACGCTAACCAGTGGCATATCTACTAGTATTGTTGAGGTAATTAAAGAAATTATTGGAATTTCTTATACTTGTGATGCCAAGACAGTTTGACAGATATTTCTAAAAATGAATACTTTACTTATTGGGCTAGATGTATTGTGATTTGGATCAGAGTTTTGTTCTGTTTTACTTTACTATGAGTTGACTTTTTATGCTCTTATAGCAGCCTGATCATAAAGCAGATGAGACATGGAGTCCACATGCCTTCCAAACTTCGAAGTTTGCTCATTGGTTTGCTGAAGAAGGTATGTGTGTAAATAAATATATGCGTAAGTGCTTCAAAGTTTTCATGCATTACAGTTGTACTTCGTAAGTGCTTAAAAGTTTTTATGCATTACTGTTGTACATCGTAAGTTCTTCAAAGTTTTTATGCGTTACAGTTGTACTTTGTAACTTTATGTTAACTTGTTTTCTTCATTACCCATTTTCCATAATGCAGAAAAGAAGTCAATGGATGACTTGACACCTAAGCCAAATGACCTGCTCTCGCTTATTGTTGGCGGTGAAAAGGGTGGGCTGCAGGTTTCCAATGTAGAGACAACCCATCATGTTGCACCGAATTCTAGTTTCCAAAATCCTGAACCTGCTGGTGAGCGCTTACCAAATGTAACACATACCGCTATTAGTAACTCTGAGCTATCTTACAAGAGCGATGTACCTGAGATTTTACCCGCAGTTCTTACATGTGAAGATCTCGAACAGTCAATTCTATCACAAGTTAGTGAAAATGGCTCGTCATCTCAGCAGTGCATGCAGGACAAAGATTTTGGTGCAAAGGCTGGGCAGTCCAATTCAATTGATGGTCATGCTTCCGAGCACCTTCTTTCTTTGTTACAAAAAGGACCCTTGCATAAAGATTTGGAACTATCATCTGTTATACATTCTACTGACACGGTGCACAACACTGAAAGAGCAACTACTGGAAAATTTCTTGATAATCCAGAGGAAGTAAATGCAGATGCTTCTAATTCATCAAAAACATTGACTCTGGAAACACTTTTTGGATCAGCTTTTATGAAGGAGCTGCAATCAGTTGGAGCACCCCTTTCTGTTCAAAGAAGTTCAATTGGATCTGCAGGTGCTGATTTTTCAGAGTCTCAGTTGTTTCCTTTCCCTACCTCAAACAATGTCAATCCTCCTACTGGCGAGCTTACACTGAACAGACACGGAAGTGGTGGTGCCTTTCCTTCAGAAAAAACTCATCAACCCAAATCAAATAGATTTGAAGAGCAGTGGTTAGGTTATGGTGATTCTCATGGAGATGTTAATTCATCACTACTTCAAACTGGAATTTCCAAGGCTAGTGGTTTCAATCGATCTCACGATTTTCGCCTCCCTGAAGAAGATAGCTTGATTTCTGTTGGCAATCCTCTGCAAACCTTTTTATCTGTTGGAAATTCAGCTAAGGCAGATTTGTCTCAAGACACACCTGCTGAGATTACTAGAAAACTGGCAGCTCTGAATTCTGCATTTAGAGACGAACGACTTGTGATGAGAAATCAAGGTCAAGCGTACCCTCGTGGTCCTTATGATATAAGGGAACCTGGTATTCCATATCAAAATCTCAACGCCCACCGACCTTCACAGCTCCAACCCCATCAGTTGAATCACATTGGTCCAATGTTCAATCAACCGGACTCTCACTCTCCTCATATTAGTTCTTATATGAAGCATGCGACTTCTGAAGGCATGGTTCATCATGATTCTCCGTCCAACCGTCAATTTCCAGGAAATATGCTTCGTCCTCCTTTCCATCAACCAAACAGTGTTGCAACTGGGTTTGATCCTCCTGCTCATCACCCTCTGTTACAACAGATGCATATGCAAGGGAACCTTCCTCCACCTCATCTATTACGAGGATTCCCAAGGGGCGGGGCTATGCCCCCTCATCCCAGTAATCCGATGTCTGGTATTATGCAGGAACCAAACCCAATGCAAGGCTTCCCATTTAGTGGCCAGCAGCATCCTAGTTTAGGGGCCCCAGGAATGCAATTGCAAGGTAAAACATTATTTGATGCGCATTGCCACTATGTTTGCTGTTTTTATTTTTTTATTTTTTATATTTATTATTATAGCTTCAGAGTCAGACAGATATTAATCCTGAATTGTTTTTCAATAATTTACTTGTAGAAAAATATTGTGCATGGATTAATTGATGTATCAATTCTGTTGCAATTCATTTTTGGAGGTGGTTATAGTTATTTTTTCAACAAGGAATTTAGTGGTTGTATTTTTATTGGGATTGATTGATCTTAGTTTTTCAGATTGAGCATCTATAATCTTTTATTCTTTAGTTGAAGACGACATGAAATATGAGATTGACAGCGGGTCATTTGCAATTCTGGTTGCGACTTTATTTTCATAATCACTAATATTGTTTGATATTTTTCTGCTTGCACATGTTTCACTGACCTTGAGGACTAATGCACTATCTAAGCTAGTTCAATCAATCCCGCCTTTTCCTTTTGCACATTCACAGCTACACTGTTTCATCAGATAATGTATTAATTATTTATTGCTTGTTGTGGTTTACACGATTGTGTCTAGCTCATTCAGTCATAGGTATGTCATAAATGTAATCTCTAGTGCACTAGTGTGGAAATATAAATTGTCTGACAAACTGTTGATTGTTATGTTATTGCTTTAAAACTGCTTTAGGATCATACAACTGAATATTGATCATCAGTTTTAATCACTCTCTACATGTTCAGTTCCTGATATGTTTTTTGGTTATTTTATTAGCTCCAGGAGTTGCTGGTGGAAGGAATCATCCAGAAGCACTTAAGAGGCTTTTTGAGATGGAGCTTAGGTCAAACTCAAAGCCAATCCATACTTCAGGGCATAACCAGGGGGGGATTCATGAGCTAGACTTGGGGTTTGGCTATAGATAGTGTATTATCATTGTTGATGTGTATACTAACTAGATTGTATTCTCCAAATGTTGATCTGTAACACTCCTGCATGAAAGATGATGATGGGTTTACTGTGTTGTTTTTCTTTGGGAAGAAATCACTTTGTTGTAATTAATGAATTCTCTTCAATTTTCATCTTCATGACATTTCAACTCGCCGCATTCTTTGTCAAACAGACAATCATAGTGCTCCCATGATTTGGCGGAGGACGTGCTTCAAAATTTGGACCATTTTACGAATGTCCTGGAAATTGAATTTCGGATTGTTTGAATAGTGAGTTTAAATTGTTTTTTTTTGGTTGGTTGTAGTAACCATGCACCTTAACGTTGTCACCAACGTTATTGTATCTAAGGACCTTAAATAAGGTGATGTCTAGTTTGGTGTTGGAAAAGTTATACCAATAGACAGAAGTTCGCTCTATGCGAACTTATGCTTCAGCGGGTCTGATAGAGGTTGTTAAATTAGGATTCAACATTATTTGGGAGGTCAGATTTTGATTTTAATAGAAGAAAAATAGTTGTTACGATGAGATGCGAAATAAGTAGCAAGTATAAAGAACATGTTCTGTTATGGAACCAGGAATAAAGGGATAGTTATAGAAGCTGCGGAGGAGGAGAGCTTCTGATCCAACAAAGTGAGTGTACATCTAATGTTAGTACTCCGACCCAAGTCAATATGTGAAAGAGTATAGAATGTTTAAATTGTATTAAAACTTGTTACTTGAAATGACACTATTCTCTATATACATGAGAGAGGATAAACGACCTCACTATCTTTTAGGTGTGGGAAGCAGAGAAATGTTAGATGTGCTTGGGGCGTAGGTCTTCTGCATCGAGGTACAAAATAGTCTCGTGGTAAGGATAAGATTTCCAAGGATATAACTATGTAGTTGGTCAAGAAGTTTTGGTTCGGAAATGACTATCTTGAGGTATGACTGAGAACAATTGCCCCTAAGCCTATATATCTGGGTAGCAAGGCGAGGTTTAAGAGAATTTCATCCTTGGTGACTGGCCACCCTTTCTTCGTATCCTTATTGTTCGCAACGTCAAACGTCTTTTTAAGAGTGTCATTATTACTGTTCTTGGAAACTGAAACACTTGAGTATTGCGTGCGAGAGATTCAATCCTTGAGAATACCCCTTTCTTTCCGTACCACTAGAATATAAGCCTAGGAAAACTAGAATAGTATTCGGATCTTTTTCTTCTCTTTTTTGAGCGGTTATCTTTTTCTTTTTTAACATTTCGTCTTCCTGGACTTGCGAAAGTTTATTGCGATGTGGCCAAAAAATCGCAGAAGAATGTAAAAAGAAACTAGACAAATCCACCATCTTCATGGGACGGTTCTATCTATTCTTTAGTTGTTTTGGTTATTTCCAAGAAGGGCAACTTGGATAAAGCTTTTCTCGAAGTGGGTGAGCAATCACATTGAGGTTCCACCATCCGTAGTGGGGATGATAGAATATGCAGTGAGTATAATGACTGCACCATCCCTCTTTATAAATATCTCTTCTTGACTTTGAGTGTTTGCTTACCATTTACTTCTTTTAAAGTTGGTGTTTCAATCACTTGATGGTGACTTCGTCACAATCTCACCGTTCAATTTGGGTGTATGTAAAGACACACCAATACTGGTGTGAGTATCTGAAGGGTAATTCCTCCTCTATCACCTTATTCTTTCATCTTTTCCCTTTCTACCGTGGTACCTTGGCTCAGCCATGAGGCCGAGAGTTAGTATCTCTGGTGTCGAGTATCCGGGTCTTTAAAGACTTTCTAGAATTGTCACCCTTCATAGATCGGTTTTTTTTGGTTACTCCTTTCATCCCCTGGCCCACACAACTATTTGCGGGGTAGAGCTAGAAGCGGAAAAGTAAGTGTAAGCCGTTGTTTCTCCATTGCTGGTTGGTAAATCATTTCCTTATAGAGAATAACACTTATGTATATAGGGAGGAAGATTTTTCTGACATAGACTCGTATCAAAAGAAATGTTTGGTAGACTTTTTTAACGACTTAGGTTATCTTGGAGGTGGAGTCCCCCCAATTGAGGTTGATAAGAAACATTTGAAATGTTTTATTGCCGATGACTATTTGTTCTCACGAGGATCATCAAATTGCCTTAGTAAGTTTGAAACTTCCTTTATTCTTTGATATTGATTCGCCCTTTTCTTTGGGTGCTTGTTTGAATAACAGTCGTGTTTTTGTGCAGATGTGATGAAAGATGAAGTAAGGGTTTGAATCTTGAAGCTTGGGATACAACCACTTAGAATCACAGTAGGTTCTTCACTTCCTCAAAAATCCCTTCGAAATGTGTTTATTCTGCATGCCCTTCTGGGTGCGAATGGATCCTGAGACTGGCACCGGTCCTTCTCGTGAGTGCTAGGATTCAATCTTTGATGACGATTAGGCATTTTTTGCCAATTATTCTGGGCAGACTCAATGGGAAAATCTGAACAGTCTGGTGCGGTCTGCTAGGCGAGTTTTTGTTGCTCTAACTCTAGGAGGATGTATTCGCTGGGAAGCTCTTTAGATGGACCATATGTTGTACACTAAAATTTGTCATCTTGATTTCAACCCCATATGGCTCATTGCTTCACATTCTCATGCATCTATCCATTAGATTATGAAAATCACAATCATTCATTTCATTGGTTTTCTAAGAGTATGAGATTAATGTTTTCTTGTGATTTGAATTTTCCTATTTCTGGGGTGATTCATATGGTTATCACACTCAATTTTACACTCCAGTGAGTCAAAGATTAATTTATTATCATCATGATCTTAATCATCAAGGCATAAGGATCACTTTCTTCATCAATAAGGTTCAAGTGCTAGGGTCTCATCATTGGTTCATCAAAAGTTTGAAATAAACTAGGGTTTTGATTCTACTCAAAACTTGAATCCATCATGAATATATCTAGGGTTTTCAAACACTTCAAGTCTTCTATTACTCAAGTTTCTTATCCATCAAGGTTCATTATATTTGATGATTAGGATTTTGACTTTCATCAAGTGAAAATCAGGATTTAGGGTTTCTAAATTGGGCTTCAAGGTGCATCACTCAAAGTATCGTCAAGATCAACATTCCATGATCCTCAAAATGATTCAATATGATTAACATTGGTTTAAGATTCTAGAATTTTATTGGTTTTGAAAGAACTTGATTCATTTGAAAAAATCAACACAAATGTCTAAAAATCAAACTTTGACTTTAGGGTATTTTGGTCAACCATGGTCATGTCAAGTTAAATTTCAAGAAAATATGGAATGTGGATGAATTTGATCAAGAGGAATCATGAAAATTAAGAAATTTTAGAATTTGGTTTAAAATTGGAAATTTTTTGAATTTTTCTAAGTGTCAAAAATCATGTTCAAGTAGCTAACTTTTCAAGGTTATAACTTCCTTCTCAAGCATTCATTTTGAGAAAACAAGAGCTATAATTCAATATTTCATATGATACTACATCATGGTGAAGATTTTGGATTCAAAAGCATTTCTCAATTGCTTATAGCAACAAGGCCAAATGAGATGTCAAATTGTGAAAAATTGCCAAAACACTTGGAAAATTTTCCAAGTGTCAAACAATCTCAACATTGATTTTTGATGGCTAATTTTCTCCATGATTCAAGATGATTAAATGCAAGTTTTCAATATCAAATTTTAAGTTCATGATCCCATCTTTCCGTTGATACCAAGAGCAAAGAATTTGATTGCTTAAGCATGAAGTTATGATGGAGCAAAGTGACCATGGAAGAGTTGTTTTGTAGGAAAAATTAGAGGTCATTTTTCATGTCCAAATAATACATAACCTCATGATCCACTTTCTCCTTGCATTGAAACTCTTATCCTCAGATTTTGCTGATGTTTAACATGCTTAGCATTTCATTACACAAGGTATCCATGTTTTGTCCAAATTTTTTCCATAAGTGGATCAAAATTCAAAAATGCCTTTTATCAAATATCTCCAAAATATCACTTCATGTCCTTGAGCTTTGTGAAATCCAAATTTATTCTAATACTCCATCCAAATTTCAGAAGCAATCCAAGCCTGAAACGTAGCGAGAAGCCATACCAAAAGTGTGCATCCAAACGTAAAACCACTTTGCACCTTTGGCCATTTTTGTTTGAAATAAGTCAATGAGAAGTTCTCAAGCTTTGTTTATGATTGAACCTCCCCCCTAACCTAAAAACAAACTCTATAAAAGATAAGCCCAACCTCAATTCAACGCTGACATAAAATTCCCATTAAAACTTATTTTTCGTTCCAAATACCTTATAATCGATTCTCTCATTTCCAAGTTTTCTTCAATTTTTTCATTGAATCATCATACATACAAATCTTAGAAAATTTTGTATGGATTAGATTGTTACTGTAACATCCAAACCGAGCTATTTAACTTCTCCATAAGTTGACTTGGTCCGAGAGTTTGAGCAAGTTTCAAAGCAAGCCACACATTCCTAGAGGTTCAAGGAAGCTAACCTGATCATTTTCTATCTTTGAAAGTGCTTGAAAAAAAGGGCGACAGACTCGCTCCGTTAGGTACATTTACTTATACTTGGTTCTCATACATGTGAACATCATTTTTCATTTTTCTTGACATAATTATGTTTGTTTTGACTTGAGGAGTGAAAGCTCTATGCTTTTGAGTGTAGATTATCCATGATTTCCATTTAATTTTGTTTTAGGTTTGTAGGGTTTTGACTGTATATCACATACTTTGAATAATTGAGTGATAATTATTAAAAAATATGGCCATATTTGTGATCCTCATGAAATTATGAGCAAATTGATATATTCATGTTTGAGTTTTGGTGCAAAAATGAGGAAATTCGAAATTGATGAAATTAGTTGAAACTATGGTCACGAGGAAGACGATGAATAGTAACCCTGCGTGTGCTTTTTCTGATTTCAAATATTTGGTTTATGTTATTTTCTTTTAAACTCGTTTCATTAACAATTGAGTAACTTGGCACAAATGGTAAGA